CTATGTTCAGTGGAAAGTGTTTTTAATCAATAGTTAAGGTCTGCTAGAAGGAACTGATTTTCTTCTTAACGCTTTCATGTTTTTATTCTGCATGACATATTAGTTATAGAGAACAGTTTTATCAGTTTTATGGTTGATCTCACTGTATGTGAACCAATTTCAGTCTCTTTAGGTTATTTAGTAATGAATGAGTTTCCCTTAAATGATGTTCTTTTCCAAATAGTCTGACAGCTAATTTTTCTAAATGTCAAAGTAACAATTTATTCCTAAAACCAGAACAAAACATAAACAAACTATTGAAATCCGATAAAAGTTGTACTATTCCAGATCGTGTACAAAAACCGTCGAAGGTCTTTTATCTTGGTGCAATGATCCCGTTTTATCTCTCTTGGTCTTCTCATGTTTTACTGTTATCGATGAAAATTTTCCGTGTGACTTACTATATAAACGAGCTACGTGTTTTTCGCATTAGTGGACATTTAGTTTTATGATTTGTAGGTTTTCGTATACTACTTATAATTCTTTAATATTCTTCATTATTCTTTCCTTTTGAAAAAAAAGGTTTTTATTTATTGTGCAAACTGCTGAAGGCAGCTTTCAGGGTGTGTAATAAATCTTTTGAGGTTATTATTATAGTTCTAAATAAATATTTAAAATCATGCAAACTCCTGTCAGGTGTTGTCTAATCAGCTACTATTCATCCATTACATTCTTATCTTAGTTCTTGTATATCTTCTAGTGGAACGAAACGCTAATACATTCGAATCCATACACTCAAGCGAAGGTATAAAAGCCTCCGAATGCCCTAGTACGGCCAAGAGTGGTGAGAGTTTGCTCTCCCTTTCGAAATGCTCTCACATGGCCACGCGTATATAGCCTCTTTCAGAAAAGTCCTACTCACTGCCTTCTCGCAACACGGGTGTTGTTTACGAAATCGAGAGGACGAACAGCGAACGGCCGGCGCTTAAACAGAGTTGGTGGACACGGAAAGTCCACCTAGGGGGATTTGGAAAACCCTGATTCCAAACCAATGGTGCACATGGACTCCAATATTCTACATTTTTTTTACTTCTATGGAACAAATAAGCCGTCTAACAGATATTCATCAACAATTTCAATGGATTTACAGTTTTCATACAATTTCTATTAGATCACTGTATCTGTGTAAAGATTGAACTAACATTCCATGTTCAGGGTTAATTTTAACATTGATAGGGTAGATACATCATAATTGGCTTGTAAGTGCCGTTTTGTATGTTTAAACCTCCGAGCAAATCCTTCAATTTATTCGGATTTATATCATTTGAATTAAAGGTTGGATTACGTTTTGTACCTAATATTGGTTATTTTATTGAGAATGGTAATAAATTACCGTTTATCTACGTTTTTGGTTCAGAAGGAGTTTTGTGGCGATCTCAGTATTTTCATCGCTGAAATCATGAGTCAATTGAAGCTACACCATCATGAAAACCTGGAAGCACTGAGAGGCCAATTCGTCTTATTATGGGACTCTTCAGCAGTGCGTTTTGTCTTGTATTTTTGTTGCAACTACATTTTAATGACAAGTATAAGTCTTATTTATGTTTCTTACTTTATTATATTTCAGATAGATTTGCATACAATAGATAAGGTGTATAAAGCTAAATATGGAATATATCTGTCGGATGATGTGAAACGAATTTACTATGGTGAATATGCCGATGCTTTGTTAAAACTTTTGAAAAAAGAAGAAATCCCAGATATATATCAATATTCAATACCATTACCATTACCTCTATTACTTCACGCGATTGAACCTTGAATGATGTTCATCCTCTTTTATAAACTCGTGGACTTTTTTGAAATAATAACGGACAAGTTCTTGACGTTTATGTTGCTTACAAAATGTTAGTAGTAAAGTTATGTAAACGAGTTATTCTTTTGAAATTAACGCTTCATAAAATAAAAAAATAAATACCAGTCAGTTTAAACAAATTTGTTTAAACTCTAGGGATAAAAACTCTGAACTGGATGGTTTGATCGTGGACATTTCATCGTTCTTCTGAATGACATCATCAGTGAAAACTTCTGGTAGAAGTGAAGTGTTCGAATTCCTTCACATACAGCTCACAGCTTGTCCTGTAGACCTAGGTGTTCATTGGTTATTGTTGACCTTAAACCTGTCGTTGTTTACTTCTTTATCTTGATTGTATCTCTCATTGCTTGAATTTATGGTTCTATGATTGTTCATGATTTAAAAAGCTATGTTTGTTTTATACGAGGAATGATGATCTGAGAGTTCACTGTCGAGGCATTTATTTCATTACTATAAGATGTATCGTTCAATGTTTATATCTTTCATTACAATCTGCTAGTATATATCGCCCATTGTATGTGATTGTGCATATCAAGCAAAGAACAGTTCTTTACTTTGAACGAACAGAATTTAAAGGCTGCTAGGGTGGAAACTCTACAACCATAAACTCGTTGTAGCATTTTAAAAACAAACTCTTTTAATAAAAGTCTTCAGATTACCTGAAGGTGATGAAATTATTCGTGTGTTTTTGTCCGTACACGTTTCCATTATCACAAGTGAATAACGAGGTCTTCGATGACAAAATTTGCAATGACAAAGGAGTTAAACAACAAACTATCATTCATAGATGTACTAGTCACCAGAACCGATACAAAAAAACTCGAGACTAATATACATCGGAAACCTATCTACACAGATCAACTTCTCAATTACAATAGCAACAACCAAATAACGCGTAAAAGTAACTGTGTACAAGCTTTATTCAAGAGGGCGAGAAAACGCTACAGCACACTTGCCGCGCTGTGAACAAAGACAAAATATCTATCGATTATCTTTCAAAAGAATGACTACCTTTGCAATTTCACCAAAAAATATCAACCAACGCTTCAGCAGAATCGAAGTGTTACGAGGGAAATGAAGACATTTGGCTGATTAAAATCTTTTTACTGTACATCAATTTTACTGTGTTTTTTGGATGTGCTTGTTATACTTAACCTTTGGACTTGTTTGTTTATGTCATTATTTTCGGACATTTTGATTTCTTTTGTCATTGGTTTGATATTTGGGAGTTTTTGCTCCGGGAACCTACAAAATTGAAGGTTTGTTTTGTAATTGTTATAATTATTGTTGTTGGAACGACTTTGGTCGATTATTTGTGAATTGCGAATAAACTTGGTATCTAATTTGGAGTTTTGGTTCTCTTGCCTACTTGGATTCCTGATTAGCGAATATCGACGGACAGTACGTCAATAGTTGGAACGGGCAAAATCTCATAAGTGGACGAAAAACAAAGTCAGGTACGGAAAACGTCAAACGGATAATTCTACCATGTATAAAAGCCATATCAGAATTTCCTGAAGCCATTTGCAATAAGCGTGATACAAAAAACAACAAAGTGATTTCAATCACTCCTGTGTAAACCGAAAGACAAAATGACAAAAGAAGAAAAAGCAAACATTATCCGCAATATAAACTGTCCCAATTGTGAAAAACACTACATTGGACAAAATGTACGCGCCCTTCATCTTCTCCTGCACGAACATCAATAAGCCGTCGAATGCCGTTACAACAGACTAAGTTGTATCGCGTAAACATGATCAGCGATCAACAATACAGAACTTTTTATTATTTTATTTTATTTAAACACATAAATATTGGTACAAAGGGACACCGAATACATATGCGCCGCACAAATCAAATGAGATTTGTGTGAGGGCTGTGATACTGCATGGGTGCCCAGACTGGAGCAGATGGTTTTCTTGAGGGGTCACACCCGGAGCCTTTGACCTAAAGATCTGATCCACAAGGCAGTGGAGCATCGTAAAGAGATGCAGTCCATTGTAGCCGGTGACCATCGACGATTGGTTCATACGCCATTTGTTCCCTCAGGATACTGAAGCTCGTGTGCACCAATGGTTTTGAATAAGTTTTTTCCACCTCTCCTGGGTGGACTCGCCGTGTCCAACATCCTGTTTAAAGCACCGGGCATTCGCTTTCCGCCCTCTCATTTTCGTAAACAACAGTAATACCACGAGAAGGCAGTGAGTAAGACTTCCCTGACAGAGGCTATTTACGCGTGGCCATATGAGAGCATTTCGGGGGGGAGAGCGGACTCTCCTCACTTTCGGCCGTATCAGGGCATTTGGGGGCACAATACAGAACTATAAAATACAATAAAAAGTCGATTTCCTATCCTAAATACCCCGAGTTATTACGGAGAATAATCAAAAGTGACTGAAGAATGTAAATCTGTGATACAAATGAAATTACCAGTATAATAATATTTCTACATTTAGCCAATCTTAATGTTTATTTGTCTTTGTTCAATGTCCTTTTGAGTTATACCTTTGCTGGACAGTCACCGTATATTGTTACGTAGCACTTAATATTTGACGGTATTTCCGCTTCTAGTTACGAACTTGTTCAAGCTAACTCCACTAAAAAGTAAAGCCTATCTTGTTCATCGTATCAAGTTCACAGCCTTATCCTACTATTTATCGTACACTTATGATTGCTCAGGAGTCATGGTTAATAAAACATCCATGTCATGTAAGTCATATCGTGGAGGTAGATGTAACGGTTATCGCAATCATTGTTCAGTATCCATGATACTTTTGAGAAATTCTAGCAATGTTTCAAAGTCAAAATAACATCTCATGTAAATTGAATTTATTACCGCTTTTCCACTTTTCTTTTGTATGTATCATTATACCAGTTCTCATCTGTGTGACTATGAAATTTTCTTATGGTTCCTCCTGAACGTCAACTTACTAGAGTGAATTATTTTTAATAATGTTGTTCTCTCTAAACTAGATCGTTATATTTGAAGTATTAGACTGTCATTTAGGACAATATCATCATTTAATTACCGAAAATTCCAGTTATGATTCTTATCTATCCACACTGAGACACTACTCACAAACTTAAATAATTGTCTACTCAGTCTATAAATTATCCTATCAGTCAATTAATCATTCAATCAGCCACTTATTTTCTTACAAATTATTTATACTACTAATACAAATATAAGTAGTAATCTTATCAATGAATGCAAACGTACATAAAAGATGATTACAATCTGCATGCATCATAATCAATACAATGACGAAATCGTAACGTGCATTATTTGAGAGAAAGTACCGAAAGGCGAGTACTAATATTACTTCAATTGTAGTCATAATCATAAAAAATAATATGAGCTGAAATCATTCAACACTTGACTAAGGTTGCAATGAATGTGTGAACAATAGAACAATCATGAATGCAACACTTTCGATTGATCCTTTCCAATATACAAGATCACTCATTCAATTAATGTTGAATTCAATACTTTGATCTTGAAAACAATTTTTTTCACGAAGTAGGTTCCATTTTTTGAACTTGGGAATAAGGACAACTAATGGCATCTATCTTTTATGTTGATGGATTAAATGTACAATGATGAGAATGTTAGTTATCACCGATGAAAAAGGCTTCAAACAAGTTAACGCTGAACGTCTATGCAAACATGATCAACGATTCATTCTGTGAATAGTGTGAATCAGAGGTACTTGATGTGGAATGTCAACAAAATTCGAAATCACAATTATATGAACAAAGAATATTCTTTTCAATAATCCATAAAAAATTGACCAAGTTTATAGCAGAGTACATCATTTAAGAAACTGTAACATGTGAATCACGAAGTGTTTGTAATAGGATGACATAGGGTGAGATAGAACATTGGGATTACAAATCAGAAATAACGTAATATGCAGAATATTATGAATTAGGTCAGATATAGTAAATAGGGTTGGATGCTGAATAAATTTCTCTTACAGGTTAGAAGTGTGATGATAATAGTAATAATAATAATAGTCCCAGAGTGAACATCAACTCTGAGATGCAGGTACATCCAGCTGACCAGTCCCGAATAGGACGAAACGCACGTCAAACTGGATTCCACTGCTAGCCACTATCCATCTTTGCTTATCATGCTTGTGAATCAAGGCTATATCGAGTCAATACATACAGTATGCACATATGGCCAATTAGAGACTGACCAGTTGCAGTCCTAAAAACATCAATGGGAAGATTCAAAGCAAACAATACTAAATGAATTCAATAATATTGACTGGTAAGATGTGTACATGAATTAAATTAAATGAACATGAATTAATGTCACCATATTATAAAACTGATTATTAACAAGTTGACGCTGAAGTTGTCCAGGATAAAAGGAGCGGCTGAACATATTTCTTTTGGATGCAAAGCTCTGGCTTTTGGAACCGAATAGTAATTGCCTCAGCCGTCTGCAGGATTCTCAGTCTGATAGAATTAGGCAGACTTCTGTTAACACGATATATTATTGTGAAAGATTGCTCGATGTTGGCTCTATGTCACGTCTGAACTAAATTGGCTAAAAAAAAGAGCTGTTAACCGTTTTGACTACACCTTTGCTTAACTACACTGGAAGGTGTTCACGAGCCCGTGTATACAAATTCCTAGAACATCTGCCTATTTCAAGTATGTATATCAGTATATTGATATATTTAGGAATTTAGCGAATGAAATGGATACAGTCGTTTCGTTGAATACCGATATAATAGTACATATGATGAGACATTGAATGAAATACTGATTATCACCACAAGATTTATGTAATGAAGCGTGGGAGAAGTGATACTGTCAAACAAGTACTTAAATAAAAAGTAGTAATTTCTATTACCGTCAATCATGCATACACCAGACTACGCTTTTGCAGAAGAGGTTTTGTAGAGATTTAGTATTTTCATATTTTAAAGCATGAGTCAATTGTAGCTAGACCACCATGGAAAACCTGAATGCACTGGACGGCTGTTTCGTCCTATTATGGGATTCGATAGATGGTACCATGACAGATAGATAATATAAAAGTCATGTTAAATAAAGAATCGATGTATTTTAAATTGTGAGATGGTATTTCACCACATGTGGTTCACAGCCTGTCCTGAAGACTCCGAGGTGTCGTTCAGAAGGACGATGAAAGCTCCACGATCAAACCATCCAGTCCAAAGATTAAAACTCCATCAAAATTTCCAATGGTCTCAGACAGGGTAACTCATGTTAGCTGGCTTATAATGGTCAACTGCTTAGCCTTGCGTAGGTCAATCTATCTATCTTGGTAACTTACTGATTACGAACAAGACGAAAAATTGACTGAACATCAATAATGCATCGATTCATACTCAATTATAGGCAATTAAACTTGATCATTTCTATGTTGTATGTGATGTACACTTATTACAAAAGTGTTATTGCATAGTTATTGCGAACTCATTGAATACTTGTTGACATCTATGGTGAAAATTATTATTAGGTGTGATATCCAATCGCAAAACCCATTACTACCTATCATGACGGTAACACTCCATACACAGCAGTGGATCGGACATACATTAGGAAAATCACCAAACTGCATCACGAAGCAAGCGCTAACTTGGAATCCCGAAAAGAAGTAGAAAAGAGGAAGGCCAAAAAACACATTACGTCGGGAAATAGAAGCAGATATGAAAAGGATGAATAACAACTGGAACGAACTGGGAAGGATTGCTCAGGACAGGGTTGAATGGAGAATGATGGTGTGTGGCCTCTGTTCCTCCATGAGGGGCAACAGGCGTAGGTACGTAAGTAAGTAAGTATCAAAGGATATGTACATCCTTTCAAATACTACTTTTTATGCAGTTTTGATCTTAAATGAATAATATGTCTGGAAGATAAACATTCATTATTCGATTATAATTAATGCATATTTATCTGAAGGGGTTTTTGTGGAGATTTTATATTTTCATAATTGAAAACGTGAGTCAATTGAAGCTAGACCACCATGGAAAACCTAAAAGCACTGGACGGCCTTTTCGTCCTATCATGGGACTACTCAGTATTGCGCATCCCCGATCCCTCACTCGCGAGATTCGAACCCAGGACCTACCAGTCTCGAGCCAGAGCCCTTAACCGGTAGACCACTGAGCCGGCAGGCATCCGACGGTGTTAATGTCTAATCAACCAATCCACGTAGTTTGAGGAACCGTCCACCAATTGTCTTCACTGAGTTGTTATCTCATAACGGACATGGTTGAACTCCACTGGTCACTGCTTCACACTCGAACTCTATGATAATAATGAAGATGAAATATAACTTATTAATAAAATGGGTTAAATTATATATGGATACATGTAATCGCTAAATTGATCACTTGTCAATAACACTATCATTCTAGACGACTGAACGACTGAGATGACTTCACATCAGTTCAACTGTAAAAAACATTACAAAATAAAGGATCACAGTTGATACGTTGAAGCTTGTCCTGGTTTGTAGATTTGTGTATTCATATCAAAGAATTCAGAACACATTTGACAACGAATAAGTGATCGGAACATTAAAGAACAACGTTTTGCCCAAATTCGTATTCCAATTTTTGTTTGGACTGTTGAAGCTGACTGCGATCCAGGAAAAACTGATCTCTTTATCTGAGATTGATAACCGCAATATTATGATCTAATGCAATCGTTTAAATGTACAAGAACATCTCTGAAATTGGCTTTTTTGAAGCGTTTCATACAAAAAACTATTATTAGGCCAATTGATCATGGTTTGAAATATCTATTGAATGAAAGTCAAATAGGGGTAGGTATCACAATTGATTGATCATTGGATAGTGATCAATGTCATGCTATCGACCAAGTTGCAATGTGGCCACTAGCATAATTGGCTTGACACTGTGTGCATTATGTTGAGATCATTCCATAATAATAAAATGAATCGATCAAATGTTCTGAAATCAATACTACTTTTCCCCCTAATTTCTTCTAAGGTTTCTTAACGACTGTATTCATCATCATCATCATCATCATCTTTTTTTACCTTGATCTCTATTTACAGTTACACAATGAACCAATGTAAGTATAATCCCATCAAACGTGTCTACAAAAAATCTTTATGCCCAAGTGGATAGACAATGACTGTAGTAATTTAATTATTGAAATGTCTTAAAAGCACACATTTACAATTTTCAACTCTTCAATGAATGTAGCTTATTAAGGGTAAAACCGAAACCAAGAATCACAATCCGAATGAGAAGCTTATCAATTTAAGTATATGTGAATTGGCTTCTATTGGTTGATTAAATCTTATTATTGATGTTTATGACTTCAATAAATCACATTGACTCTGTTTGACAGAATTGTGGATGCACATCCCTGATAAAGCTGGTATAAGACGTAGGGAGATATCCTTCTCATGTAGGTAATAAAATCGTGAAATAATGAATTCGGCAATTGCTATTCGGATCAAAAAGCCAGAGCTCTGCATCCAAAAGAAATATGTACAGCCGCTCCTTTTACCCTGGCCAACTTCAGGGTCAACTTGTTAATGATCAATTTTGGGAATATGGTGACATTAATTTGATTAATGTTCACTTCAATATCTTAAACTTAGTTTATCTACACATCTTATCAGTACTCTGCCTTAAATTTGGTCAACCTTCTTTTATGGATTATTAATTTATAATTGTAGAGTACGTGATGAGTAATTCATTGAAAAGAATATTCTTCGTTCATATAATTGTGGTTTAATATGATGGAAATTTTTTCAGGGAATAACATGTAGCTTAAAAATTAAGACAAGCTCCATAAAGAGTAGAAAAGTTGGATTGTTATTCATTATAACTTGTAATAAAGGTGATGGGATCATTATTCATTAGCATAATTCAAACAGCATGCATGTCCGACTTATTATTTGATAATGGATTCCTGATCTCCGATATCCGTCTATTAATGTGATGAGCAAATTGTGTTGATTAACATGTTGTTCCAAATGGGTACATAATTCAATGTGACAAATAAACATTCGGAAAACTTGATTACAATTTGTATTATTACTTTTAACTCAACAAATGATAATAATGATAAGATTGCAATAACTAAAAACGTACATCAATATCCAAGGTAAAACTGTCCATGGATTAGGTGTTTTATGAACTGTCTCCCTACAAAATGTTTACTTCTATGGTTGATTGAACAACTTACAACATTGATGAGATTATGATGATTAACAGTGTAATAGCTATTTCAATTCCAAGAATTAGAAAAACCTTAAATTAATAAACAGCTAAAAATATTCACCATATCATACCATTTTCGTATACTCTGATAGAGCAGAAATATTACTGCCGTTCAATATAATTGTAACTTTACCATCTGTGTTGTACATCCATGAACTGTTGTATAGATCAGCAAATATTTCTTCAAGTGTATCTAGAAATAGAAGAAAATATGATGCCGTTTGTTAACATTTCCCATGATATAAATATATGAAAATGAAGTGCAGTGAAAGTAGGAAGAAAAGACTGAATACAATGTGATACTTGATCATTTCGTTGATCTTATTGAATCACGTTAATTTAGTGGAATAACTGAGTAATTAACTGACTGTCAAGTATATAATTATCCTCCTATTATTAGACAGTATTTTTGGTCGATCATTCTAGAATAAGATGACAATGATTGAAACGTTTTCAGTTTTTGATGTACCTTCGCATTGCTGATGATGCATGATTTTCGCTTTATGAAAATATGGAAAATCATGGTTCATGGAATTGATAAAAGTAGGTGAGATCGTAAGGAAAGGAAATATTCACCTTTCAAAATCCATCATTACTTACTTGATAAATTACAGAAACGGTGTTGTATACCACTGTCCTAATGGTTTGTTTATTTCACCGCGTAAAATGGATTATTCAAACTGAAATACTGATAATAATATAAAGATCTTCTTAGAATTATATACAGTAACGAAACTTTGAACTGCAGTTAGGTTAATTTGATGAAACTAACCGTAGTTTTCCTATGTGTGTTTGTTTGTACAATGTTGTGAATTGATGATTAACATGATTTTCAATGGTATCTCTAATAGACAAGATTCAGTATTCAATCTACTTAAACTAGGAATTAGAAGAACTATGAACTATTCAATTGTTTTTAATAATAACAATGTGGATCATTTACATAGTTCATGATACTTCAGTGATAAAACCATTCCGTTAATCTTCAAAGGATGCGCCATGAATATCTGAATCACCCATTGAATTGAGCTTTATAGATCATTCAGTAGTTTATTTTGATAAGAGCACAGTTTTCAGGCATATTTTGTTTGTTTTTTTTTGTTATAGATTTTACACGTAAACCTTTCATAAGGATTTGGAGTTTGAAAGGATTCATTGGTCACAATTCATTAGTTCTACATATCAAGGTATAATATTTCACTCCATTGGTTCTTTGTACGTATTGCACAACAACAACTGAGTTTGAATTATAAAAATTAATTGCAATAAGTGGTTGATTATCACCTGCTTAAAACCATATTTGTATCCAAGTGTAATATTGACATATGATACAAGATAAAGTAATCGACACTGATGACCAAGAGAATTCGAATAATCTTGATTATCAATTATAACTGCACATAGTAATGAGTAAACAAGTCGAGATTGTATAGAGATAGAATTTGAAAAAAATACAGGGGTTTACATGATGTTCGTAAACTGATTAGAATATAGTTTTTAGGCTGTTTTGGATCTACATCTAGAGTTGTATCCTAACGATATTAAATTATGCGTAGCTCCCTGGATTTCTTCAAGGACAGTTAATATATATATTCTTATTGTGTAACTACAAGGTAACTAGATTATAAATATTTACATTTCTGCTATAATAAGTTTTCATTTGACCTATTGGCTACTGGTCATGTATTGATACTCAAATCGAAGATTATGTTGCGTAATGTTCTGCATGTGCTAAAGTCACCAAAACCTCTCGAAGGATGGAAATAAGAGGTTGGAGAGAAACAAAAAATCTATGATCAAGGGGGAATGTCGATTTTGTAGGTCCCACAAATGAGAAAACAGTTATCGGTAATTGTTGATGCCTTTTCCAAATAACCGAAACTTTACATCCGGAAGTCTGTATCAACGAAAGCTACTTTGGAAAAATGGAGCCAGGTATTCAGCTGTTTCTAGTGCTCCAATGTATTTGTATGAGAGAATGGATGTGAATTTACCTCTGTGGAAGTTTCCAAGTTTTTGATCTCCAATGCCGTACTATCAGCAGTCTAACGGGTTAGTTGAGAAGTTTGTGGACATATTTAAATGAGAAGTGCTTAAAACTGAGGAGGGAGGAAAATTGAAGGAGGTAATTCAACGACTCCGATCGCAGTGATCATAAGGCGATACCACGCACGTAGTTTTCATGCAGTTAGTCCCCTTTATGAATTTAAATAAAGACAGAACATATATTGATACAGAATAATATGAATTCATCATATCTCCTGGTTTCTCATCAGCTGCTTAAAACCAACTATATATTCGAACATTAGTATTGAGATAATAAATAGTGTGGAACAATTGGCATAATTGAATGTAAAGGATTGGAATGACAAAAGGTTATCAATGATAACTATATATATATGAGCAAGGAAAGGTCAGAGGTTATTAAATATTAGAATGAGGGAAGCATAAAGGGTGGGTGACGTAATAGTGGAATAGAGTTTATAGACAGATAAGATCAAATGTGTGATAATTTTAAAGGTAATGAAGGAGTCAAGGAATTAAAAACCAATGGGGTAGGTTACGTAATAATTGAATAGAATTTGGAGAGTTCATATAATTTAAGAGAAACAAGTGAGCCGAAATGTGTGGGAGAAAGGTTGTTTAAGAATCGAGTAATGGAAGACGAATATAGTAAAAACTAAATATGAACTAAAATAAAACTAATAACCAAAAAACTTAAACAAACAAAAATGAATTACCGGGGTAGTAATAAGTTTATCACAGTCTCTTTTTGAATACATAGATCGTGTTTAAGTTTTTTTTATCGCCATCGCTTCAGCAAACCGGAGAGCAGTTGTACTACTTTGTTTGCTAATGATTTTGAAAGCACGAGAGATATCAGTGGTGTGCCCGGTGTCCAGTGAATGCCGAGCTATTGCACTGTTGAGAGCCCTGGTCCGTCACAGCCTTAGTTTCTTAGGAACATGCTGAGAAATGCGAACATGTACACTTCTCTTCCAATGTATGTGCTTTGGCACGTAAATGTAAATTGGTAAATGCAGTTGGAGCTACTGGTCACTGAAAGAATCACATAACGTTACTATCCTAATTGTAAAACAGTTTTCTTATGCGATGAATAAACTTGACTTAAAGAAGCTACTATGAATTATGAGCTGAGTTATATAACTATAATAGAATTGAACAGTTACTCATATTTTATTCCCTTCCCACTCATTGACTTAGATAGCGAATTATAAAATTTATGGGAAAAGTATGATCATAGACAGGACATTTGGATTTAGAACTTACGGGAATAAAATATGTACAGCTGGATGCTCTGAAACTATATTTTACAAAATCAAAATTCTTTCTACAAAGTGTTAACTGCTATTATTCGTTGATTAACTTACAGTACCAATCACAGAAATACAACAATCACCATATTATTTATTCGTTTATCAAGCATTAGTAAAACCTTTCGCTGTAAAGGTTACAGAAGGCCTAATCAGAGATATCGTGGTTGCTGGCAATAAGCAGCGCGAAGAATGTACATTCTTCAGGTGTCGATTGATTGGGCTGCAAACTTCTAAATGGCGATCACTCAGTATTTATCGTCAGGAATGACGAAGAAGTAAGAATCATAAAGTTTTTGAAGTACTTTGTGCTGAGAATTCTATATTGTACCAAAAATATAATATTGAATAAAGCTAATAATAATAATAATAAAATAGTAGGACTTAAAACTAAAGTATTACCCATAGAATACGTTCATCAGATATCTGAGCATAACAGCTTTATTGTTATCGTTCAAAATATGTTTGCTACGCTTTTTCTTGGAGTGCAATTCCACAGAATACTAGGAAAACCAGAAAACATTTCCACCAGGCTATGATGAAAAACGAAAATAAACATTTTCCAACGTTTCCTTTACTTAAACAAAATGGAAAGCATAATTCGAAATATTCAATAAAATACACCTGATCAATAAGTTTCGTTCTCCTACTGAGAAATGTGGATTTATAGGTTAAGAGTATGAGCTGAAATCCCATTAGTAAATTGACGAGACTATAATTTACGGACGAGCCAATCAGGAGCGTTTGAGTGATTTTAAGGTTACGGAGCTGATTTCAATACCTGATGATCACGTATGGTAGGCTCACAGAGGATTTTACAGAAGACGTGATAACTGAGTGGCTACAACAAATAGGACTACGAAGAAGTTCCTTTATTTGTAATTGTGGTAATCAAGTGACATGTAGACCTTGTGCAGACTGCTGTGATGATGTTGTCTTTCCATGTAATATATGTTGGAGGAAGAAGTCTGCTCGTACAGGGACATCCTTCGCGCGATCCCTAATCAGACTAATGCATATTATGATGATTTTTGCTAAATGTATAATAAAACACCAGTATTATTGACTGCAACATTAGCTGAAGCTTTGGTTGTTAAGTGGTGTGAGTATTGTAGAGATATATGCGTAACAAAAATGACAAGCTTACACAGTCGAAGTGCACACAGACAATACTGAAGCTATGTGATCGGGACTGAGAGAGATTTTGAGACCTTATCATGGCTCCAGAAGCCTAGTATTATGGAGCCATATGGATGAGTTCCTTTCACTTATGCATTACCACATTAGAACCTTTGAACATCTTGCTAACCTCGACAAGTTTTAGATCATGTAAAAGAAGTGTGTCCACTTTATTATATTATTTCTTAAAATTTTGTCTGCAAAAAGAACGGGAATCAACGATTCAGTTTCATTAGAATCTATTAAATAGACCTGCTCTACAATAACATTGTCAGTGTTCAATCAAATTACATTTTCATAAATATTCGTATAAGTACATTCTAATTAACTGTATATAACCAATCAGTTAGTTGAAAGTGTTGTCTTGAAAAATAATTCATGATGTGCAATTATGATGTTCGGGCTAATTCGAAGAAGTAGCTTGAATGAGGAAATAATGACTCGGTTTTCTAAAAATTCAGCATCAGTCTGTTTCAAATCCTTGAATGAAAGATAAACTTAAACAGTCAGATTATCTCTAAGAGTCATATATTCTGTGAGCTAAGTAGTGTAATGAACTAAACTTGAATGGAGATAACCTATTTACTATTTCATACAAAAATAACAAAGAGTGTTCGTGAAATATGAGAACCATACATTGAATCCCTCACTTGCAAACCTCCAATCAATTGTCTTTCACATTCTGTATGATTCTTCCACGTCTTAATCCTCTTCTATTTCACTTTCTGTTTACTTCAATTAGATCTTCTTGGGCTTCTGTTGCCAACCATTCCTCTATTGATTGGTATTACATACTACTTACGTTGAAAGTCAGATGTGTCATACAACACACTACTATCGGCACCTCAATAAATGAGTATAATACTTTTTGATTAGTGAACTTTATTGTGTGAAGACTGAATGGGCTTTGAACTTCTCTATCTAACATTATTTTGAGAAATATAGGGAACAATAGAGACCATTATACATCGATTCGAACTGAAAAGTTATCAGAATAAGAGCTAGTCGATTGTATGGTGTTAGTTCGTCATATAAATCTAGGGAATAATGAATATGCAGTAATTTATCTAATTATTAACAAAATCTAAATTATTTTCATAGTTGAAATC